CCTCCCCTGGCCCAGCCTGAGGCCGTTCCCTCTCCTCCTGTCCCTGCTCCCTGGAGCACAGCCCGACCCCCCCGGCTGTCCCCTCCTGTCAGGAGCTGTGCAGAGCCACAAGGTCCCCCCTCAGCCTCCTTTGCTCCAGGCTGAGCCCCTTTCCAACTCCCTCAGCTGCTCCTGGTGCTCCAGACCCTTCCCCAGCTCCCTTCCCTTGTCTGAACATGCTCCAGTTCCTCAGTGGCTGCCTTGGCCCAATATATGTATGTATACATAAATACACACACACACACATATATATAAATTCAGGCATTGGGATCTGCAGAGATCTGAAAAAACTCAGCACATCCCATCCAAAGGTCTTGTGTGACACTCGTGCAATATTCCACCTAAATAAATGCAACAGCTTCTTCCTGGGGAGAAGATTTCTGCTTGTCAGATTTTTGGCCATTTCTCTGTATCCTGGAAATTTTTGTGCAGGTACGCCTAGAGTACACATAATTAAAAAGAGTCACAGTTATAGAAAACTATTCAAATAGGTTGTGAGAGATTAAGATTTAAAAGTGGATTTTTGTTTTCATTTTCCTTCTGCTAGCATCCAATTCTATGGTTCAGTGAGGAAACAGAGCCATAAAGATAATTTAATATGACCTCCTCAAAATGCAGGCCAAAGAACCTTTTTTTTTAAAAACTAATTTCTGCATGAAATATTTCAAGAAAAGAAAATAATAGATCAAACACATCCTTCTAGCAGAGTCATTACCTCTGAATATTTTAATAGGCTTTGGAAACACTACTTTATCTCCTTCCTTGTTTTTAATTTTTAGTGAGCTGGGATAAAGCAGGTAAGTATAAACATTTCACATTCTGCAGTGATTCCACTCTTTTCAAGCCCATTATTATTCAGGACTTACCAAACAACACTGAAACTTTGAAATTTTGCCCAAAGGGGGAAGATAAGATTGGGTAACAGCTACTCACCTATGACACCTCACCTAACATTATCAAAAGGAGGAAACATTCCTCAAGTAATTAAATATTTATTCCTTTAAAGGTATAACTAGAGCACAAAAATACATTTCTACCTCCCACAGCTTTTATCAAGCTGTCAAGTTCTCCATAACTTGGTGTTAACTGAGTCATAAAGGGAAAAATATCTAAAGCAGGAGAAATGTGTGAACCCTTGCTTGAGGATGCACTTGGTCATTCAGTGAGAAACAGGAAAAAATCTTGGTTATTCCTGATCTCTGCAGGTGCAGCTCAGCAGCAAAATCAGGGTGTGCTCAGCTTCCAAAGAGATGCCTAAATTCCTGCTAGGATGTTGTGGGATAATGTGCCTGCTCTTGGACACAGCTTCAGACCTGACCTTTCCCTTCTGGGCAAACTCCTGATGAAGTTTCAACCAACAAACTTTATCCTTTTTGTCTTTTCCATCTTCCTTTCTTCTCCACACACATATTCATCACCTGACAGATTAAATGAACAGCCCAGTCTGGTCTGAGGGGTTGTTTATAAAAACAACAGAGTGTATTTATAAAATGAGTGAAAGGAGATACATTGACTTATTTCTATTATAAGCCTTTAATTCAGATCCATACCACGGATTTCATTTAAAAAAATAACCAAACTCCACACCTACTAATTTTTTGCTTGAAAATCCAACTGAAAATTGCATTTTTTATATGCAGAAATGTAATTTTAAGTCTATCAATATCCATACTCTGTATTAAAATCAAGTTTCAGAGGGACACAGGAACCTTGCTTTGGCCAGTTGTCTTTGAGATACAGAACAAAGCATCAGATATTAAAATATCCACACAGTATTTTTGTTTTCATGGGACTGTTTCCTTCTGGTTTCCACACCATGGTCTACCTCTTTCTAAGATGTGGAAGAACTGAACTATAGATCAGCATTTGACACTCTGAGGGCAGAGTAGCAGGAAATTACTGGATCAAAGCAAATCTCTGCAGATGCTTTAAACCCCACTCCCTTATTGTCAAAGTATTTGTTCAGCTTTAAACACATGAAAACTATCCTTCCTATGGAGCCAAGCACTTAAACTCAGGTGTGAGTTTAATAATGAGCTTGAGATCAGTGGGAATTAAGGATTAAAAAGTGCTATGTCTGAGTATGGACTAAGTTATTTTGCTACAACTCAGACCTGTATTCCTTTGTACTAATGACCTGCTCATTAGCTCCTTGATCTAAAATACACATTTAGCTATGTTAACTCTTCACTTTCAGATTCTCATTTTAATAAATAAACAAGGCAAAACAGAAAAAAAAAACAACTTAGGAAAATTATTTTGAAAGTTATGTATAGGCTTTCTGTGTTCTCTGACTTCTTAATTCAGGAACTGTTTCCTTGCTGAAAATGTGTATTATAAATTGAAATACCTTCATTATCATGTTCCTGTGGCTTATTAAAATGGGAAATTTATCAAATGGGAAGTTTATCAAAATGGAAAGCCAAAAATTCTCTCTATCCTTCTTCTTATGGCCACAGGTGAAAAGCTACAGACATTTCTGACTGATTTTGGTAATAACTCGGGTGTCTAATTCTCACAGATAAAATACAATACCTGCCATATGAATAACAAAAAGAATGACCTCAGAATTTAAAACCACACTAGAAACTGTCCCCAGCTCAGGAGGCCTCTCTGACCTTCATTCTGATCTTCAAAACAGTCATTTGCTGTCTATTTATCAGCTGGAAGCAACCTCTTTAAAAATAACTATGTTCTGTCATTAAGAAATATATAAATATATTCACTTGCATTTCAGGTACAACTTGAACATTTTCCAGGTTGTAGGTACACAGGAAGATGTGTGATACCCACACATTTTGGTTGAGAACCAAGGTGATAGTCATGAGAAAGGGCTGCAGATTTCTGAGCAAAGTTGTGGAGTTCCCTATTTTCAATGGAGAAATGTCTCTAGAGAACATTTCTGAAATTCACATTATTTTTCTATGCCTACCCTTTTTACTACTCTCAAAATTCTTCTAGATCTGTAAGATTTGCAAGATTTCAAGACGGAAAGTCTGTGGGATGAATTCTTAATTGGTGCAGTTAATGGAATTATCATTGTGGCAACTGTGACATTGTGATTATGAATTTCACAATTTACTTATTTTAAGAAAAAAATAAATTTTTTTTCAAAATATTGAACTTGCTGTTTTGACAGTTCACTTTGTAACACTGGATTTTTGAGTTCTAAGGGCCAGTGGTTACTTTTTGCGTATTTAGATTCATAGAACAATACAATGGTTTGGCTTGGAAGGGACCTTAAAGATCATATAGTTTAACACTGTCGGTGCCTTACCTGATTTAGACTCTCCTTGCATGACAGCAATTCCAGATTTTGTAATGCTTCTCATGTTTCCATGTACTTTCCCATCCCTTGTTTCAGATGAGTGGATGAAAACTGCATGAACAATTCGAACACAGGCACCCAATATTTCCCTCTGTCAAACCTGTCCTCATCCTGTTGGCTTTACTGTATGAGCTGGAAACTGAGCTGGTTGGTTCCTGGCTCATTTTTTCATGTGCATTACTTTATCGTTTATCAACACCACATTTTGTTGTGTGATCATAAAGATATTTAGATCTTAGATGGACAAAAGGCAAAAAATCCATCCAAAAGCAGGAGTCTAATGGCCATGGGCTAAGCTGCCCAAAATCAGTCTAGATTCTTCCCTCATTGACTGATTTTCACTGAGCATTTCACACACACAGTGAATTCACTATTCTGAGGGAGTGACTGGTCCCAGACTCCTTTCACTGTGATCTTTATCCATGGAGCCCCCAGCACTGGAGAGTCCACATGTTCACAGGTTCCTTTAGACTCCATGCTTTCCTCTAAACTTTTTCTAAATTTGAGATTCCTTTTAGAGCAACAACACAGTTTTAAAGCAGCCATCGAGCTAATCCATCAGAGTTTTAGAGGAAAACACTTCTGAAGAAGAGCTATTACTTTTCTTCATGGTAAATTGCCTATTTTCCTTTTTCATGCAGCATGCCGGGACATTTTTACTTGTCTATTATTTGCTATTTTTGTCTTTAGACTCTGTATCTATCTTTTGTCTCTGTAATCTCATCTGTAAAAATCCCCCCCTACTTTTTAGGGGGTTAATTGTTACCAGCAGCAATGTCAGTCTGTGTCAGACTCCAGGGCTTTATAGGGAAAGCTCTGCAAGCACTTTCCCACATCTCATATATTTTGGTCATGTCTACGCTCTCCAGCTCTGATTGGGGAACTGCTTTATTACACAGTACAACTAAAGAAAGCAGAAATAGTAATTTCCTAAAAGACCTCTGAGAGTACATTTCTTTACATAGACTGTGTAGGAGGGCAATAGAACAAAATTTGGTGCTTTGCTATTCTGAGGAATAATCAGCGTATCTGAGACGACATCCAAACATCTCTCAAAAAATCTTCAAGGGCTACACTTGTCACTACTGCTGTAACTCAGTGTTTATCAGTGTTTCAAATCCCCTGTGGGGCCATGAATGTTCCCTTAACTTGATACTATCTAATTATAAAGAAAATTAATAGATATTAATTCTTTTCTTTAATATATACACTCAGACTTTTTGTTGATGATAACAAAGGCTCTGTAATTAAGTAACTGTTGGTTCAAAAGGGAATAAAAGTAGATATTTGTGCAGTGGACGTTTTACAGGTTCTGTAACATTGGCACAATAGGTGATTCCAAGGTTGTGAAGTGCCAACCTTACAAGTGAATAAATTGAATTATCTTTATGATTGTTCTGAGGTGTTGCATTTAAACAAATAATTTCATCCCACATGACACGTCTCATATCTATTGAGAGTTAAATCTGTCTCAGATTTAAACTCTGGTTTTGACCCACTGACCATGTTTGGTGTATTTTGACTATTAAAAAATGAGAAAATTCACAAAAATTAAGAACAAAAGACAGAATTAGTGACTCTATAATCAAGTGTGATTCAGGAGATACCCGTGCATTAAAGGAGACGAGCCAGATTGAGGATTCCAAGGTTAAATGAGTTTATTGAGTTAGTGGTTACAATGGTATGTCAGATACCTGTAATCCAAGCTACACCTACATATTTGCCTCTAAATTCTCACACTGTCAGTTTCCGTGTCTCTAAACATTCCACCACCAGGTCTTCTATTACTAATATAATAATAATAATAATAATCAGAATAATAATCATAATATAAAAGGCAATGTCAATCACCATATTGTGCTTCATACTCCACCATAAGGAATTCAATTGGCAAAAGTAAACCTCTGGTCATATTAATGGGATTAATTGAAATGTGAGCAGTCATAACACTACTAGAATATAAAGAACAAAATCTGGTTCAAAAGAAGCATTTTTAAGATGAATTAGTTTGAATCTGTTTTAAAAATTCACATACTATAATGAAGATGACTTAAAAGTTATATCATTTAATTATTGGGCCACACATTGAAGCATATTGGCTAGTACATTTTTGCACTGCAACAGAAGCAATACAAGCTTTATGGTCTACCATTACAATTCCTTTTTTTTTTTTTTATTTTTCACTTAATATACCTGCCAACCTAATGTTTCTTGCATGCATAAAAATTTCAGGGTTTAGACTTGAATTTATCATTTATTCCACACGTATAGCCCCGTGAGGCAAATTCTTTGGCCAATTTAATGCTATAGTTTAGTTTAAAAAGGAAGCTTGGAATTAAGTCCACTTAATATCAGAAGGCAATGCCCTGAATTTTGGGCACTGCAGAGAGTTATTTACTGGAATAGAGTCTCAGGTCGCATGCAAATTGTCACTTTGTCCCCCCCACCCCATGCCAGACGCACACAAGTCGGCAGGTACGCATACAAAAAAGAATAAAAAACCCTCCTGGTAAAGCTCAGTGGTTTAGAATGAATCCATAGCTTTAAATTCACTTAAGGCCTGTACAGGGGAAATATGTTTCTTCTGGGACCCTCTCCTCACTCTTGTCTGATATTCTTCTGGTTTTTCTCTCTTTACTAGAGGTTTCTTCTCGGGGGCCTTCATCTTCCAAGATACAACTGGAGAGTTCACTGCAGCAGTGCCATAGACCTTCTGATATTTAGTAGAAGCCACATATGATGCTTTCACTGTAAGGACCACAGCGTTCATCAGGTTTTTAGCTGCCTGGATGAGAGAAGTGGCACTGTCCAGCTACAAAGAGAAAACAAAATGAAATATAGCAAGGTTACTACAAAACAATATACAGCAAGGTCATTCCGTGGCTGGATCACTGGGCCATTTCCTGACTGGAGCCTGGATCCTCCCAGATTTCATTAAAGATGGAACAAATCCTCTTCCTCGGGGTACCCTGGAGTATCCATGCACTGGCAACATCATGCACTGAACAGTAAAGGTAAGACAGTGGTACCTCACATTAATTTTTTTTTATAAGTTAAAGGAAAAGCTTGTGTTGTCTGAGCATTGTTTTTTTGTTTGTCTGTTTGTGGGGTTATTTGGTTGTTGATTCTTTTTCTACAATTTAAGAAGTTTTCTGTTTTCTCACAAAAAACCCTTTTACTTCGCACTTAAACCTTTAAAAATTTACTGTTACACGTCAGCTGTAAAACAGGTCAACAGGCATTTTTCCCAAGTGTTCCAGTTTGTTCTAATTATTCCTGTTAGCCCAGGATAACACCCCCAGTGATGTCTACAGGAACAGTGTGAGGCCAGCACTGAGCTTGTTAAAGAATCCCATCTGAAAAGATGAAAGGAGCTTCTGAAACCCCTACAGAAATGAAAAGATGAGACAGTTAACTGCAGGTTTTGGCAGCTCCTGTAATGTGTGAGTTACTCCTGGTCTCAAGGAATGTTACTTTGTGGTTTCCAGGCTTTTTGTACCTTTGTGCTTCTCCCATGCATGAACCTGCCTGAGGTTCCTGGGTGTCCTCAGGATGTAAGAGCCCTCAAGGACTTGCTGAGCTTCAAAACACTGGGACTTCCAGTCAGCAAGCTTCCATCATACTGAAGTGAAGTTCATAATCCTGGCCAAAATTTTCAAAAGGATTTTAACATATAATGGGGACTTCCAAGGCAATGCCTCAATGTCCCACGATGTGAATCAGGTACTTGCCAGATCCAAGTGGATATTCTGAAAGTAATAAATCCTAAAAACATGCTCCTAAGGACTATAGCAAGGCAGGTTACTACTTATGATGTTCAATTATCCCTTTCCTAAAATACTCCAGAGTGAGATACACATTTTCTGTGATAAAGCCTTTCAGATATACCATGGAAGCTGCTTCAATTACTTATGTCTTTCCCAGACTGTAGAAATTATATGGGATGTAGTATTATTTTACCTCTTTGATTCCACCCCACATGCTCAGTAAGTTTTTAGCTATTTTTAATTAGTACAAATGGCCTGTGTCACTCCAAACCCTTCCTGCTCCCTATTTTGGGAGCATGGCTGTGTAATATAAATGCTAAGCCAGGTAAGCAGGACAAAGAGTCATGAGGCCATAACAAAAGCCACACCATACTTCACCTCAAGCATTCTGCATCATTAACAGAAGAGTTCAGGAGAAATCTCCTTCTGAAGGGTCAGTGACTGATGTGAACAAAAATAGACATAACAGAAAGCCTGTATTTGAAACCACATTAATATATACTTACCTGGAGTGTTTTATTTCCTCTGCTCTGGCCTTAAACTCATTATGGTTCATCAAATACATAAACAGCTACATACAGTGAGGTGAAAACCAAAAAAAAAAAGCATTTTAATGACATTCACATACGTGGTGCCATTCCCTGAAATGCACAGTTAATTGCCGGCCCCTAGTAAATATTTTTCCTTGGGACTAATTTGTATTTCTGTTAGTAAAAGAAACGAAGTTAAAAGATGGAAAATTACATTACATGGCAGAAACATGACTGCTCAATAGGGAGTAATGAAATATAATCCAGTCTAGTGTTATTCTATAACCACACTGCTGCATGATTTATAAGGCAATCTGTATGTTTGTTGGCAAATAACAGATCACACTCTATTAAATTAGGATATTCTAATTTACTACAGAGATCTACAATCAGGCATTATTCATTGTTAAATGATTCTTTTTGAAACACTGGTGGATTGATATTGAATATAAAGTGATACCATCAAGTAGTGTTTACTTCACAATCAGTGTGGATAAACTGACTGGATTGAGCCTCTATTGCACATTCCTGAATGAATGCTGGTTGCAGAAGGTTTCCAACAGCTCCATATTTTCCACCACAAAAAGCTGGTTTACATATATTAAGAAACAGAATAATTAAATGAAGCATTTTAAAATGAGGGGGCACCAAAATTAGATGTTTAAACCCATACACAGAGTTCGATCTACACCTCTGAACACAGCAATCAGCAATTTTATGGATTGTAGTCATGCAGAATCTTGGACCTCACAATCAGATGCAGGCTGCAATGACACCTTTTAGGAAACCATGTTTTAAAAAATGTTTTGATGCTGTTAGAGTAGATAGGAGCTCCCAGTTTTCACCATTAATAATCACATTTTGAGATGCAGATACTCAGTCTTTAACCCTAATATCCACTTATCTTGTAAAACAGTTCCAAGTCTTGGAACCAGAAAAGAGACATAAAACCCCACCACAGGCTGTAAATGTCCTCCAAAATCTGCTGGTGGTCATTCCATGCATCCAATTTGGCCACCTAAGCACTTCCCATGATTTTCTTACAGCCTCCAGCTCCTTGCTTGTATTATGGCTCAGCAAAGAAGAATTAAACTGAATGAACATCATCTCAATTGACATTTAGATCTTCCCACACCACTATGTTGCTCCAGCTTTAAGCTGTGCTTTGCCACACTGGCACAAAGCTGGAATGAGGCAGCAGTGAATCAAGCCCCATGTGTGTTAATTCCTTACAAAATCTGGGCACAGAAACCTGTGCACTTTTCCAAACGTTATGTTAATAATAAAAAAATCATAAGAAGGAAAATTAACATCTCAAATAAAAGCACTGCTAGGAAAATTACTTCACAGTACAGAAGGCAACCTTTACTCCCTGCAATACCCGCAGAATTATAGATATAATGATGGATTTTGGTCCTAACAGCCAAAAGAGCCTTTGGCTTGCTGCTCAAAGTAATGGTGTTCTGCTGCTTAGACTTCTTTTAAAATATGTTTGCCTGCTTTTAGGAAAAAAAAAAAAGCTCTCTCAACCATAAAAGACAAACTTGGGTGACTGTCCCACAAAATTCAGTGAATGCTGAGGAAAATTTAAAATTAAGAATAACTGCACTGCACCTGGTCACTTAGAATAATTAAGGCTGGAAAAGACCTGACAAGATTCCAGGGGTTTTTTCCCCCCTAGAGAAGATCCTTCAGGTTTTGAGGAGTTTTTGAGCTGCTTATCAGCTGTCCTGCAATTTTCCTGAACGATTTGCAGAATTTTCCAGAATCTTGAGATAATCAAGATTTCTTGCTCCTTTTACACATAATCTAAGTAAAATAATCAACAATTGCAATAACAAAATAGCTGAAGAAATTGGATTGAATAAAGCTGGAAATTTTTGTCCTTAACAGTACAGCAATGAAAAGAGATGTTTTTCCTGCATTGTCACACTGCTGTAATGGGGAAGAATTATAATTTGTTTTAGAAAGGATAAAATCTAACTTCCAGAGAGTCTTCATATTAATAATAAAAAATATCCATAAATATTAAGGGAAATTGAGGGGGAAAAAAAAATCAATCTGTATTGCCAGTGAGTAAGGATACAGAATGAGTAGTTTTAAAAGAGGTGGTTGCTTAAGAATGTTCCATATTCTTACTGCTGACTTTAATAAACCTTGAAAATGGGTGAAGATACCTAAAGAATTGTAGATAGTTTCTAGTGTCTAAATATTTGAACAATGAAAATAAAATGACCTGTGAAATTACAGGCCAGCTCAGCTGACAGCACTCCCAAATTAAATGATGCAATGTCTGTGGCAGACTCCATAAATAGAGGAAAGAAATGCAGTTAGTGGTAAACAAAGGGTTGTGTGGGTTAAAATACTTTCCAAGTAACCTACATCATATTTTGGTATGATTAAACTTTGAATTGCTTAAAATAATACTGTGGGTATAATTGGATCTTTGAAAGGTCTTTTGCTTAGTAATACATGACAGTTTGATTAAAAACTCAGTTGACACAAAACTAACAAGACACATACACAGAAGGATTCCAGATTCTCCAGCAGCTGCTTCCAGAAGTACATATATACACAAAAAAAAAAAAAAAAAAAAAAAAAAAAAAAAAAAAAACAGCACACCAAATGATTATTATCAGGGGGGGTAAAAAAAAAAAAAAAAAAAAAAAAAATCAGTGCTCAGCAGTGAATTTCACAGTGGGGTCTTGGAGTCTTGGAGGAACCATTTGGAGTTTTCACAATAATGTTGCTTCTTCTAAAAGCTTGGAAAGAAAGTCACTTATTTGATGAAATTTGCAGATAACAATTGGGAAAGTGTCAAGTCATGCAGAGGGCAAATGATTGATATCTAATTAGCTGCTAAAAGCCACAAATGTAGATTCAATTCTGGCCAGATCTACAGCAGATGATACCTAATTACACAATAAGGAACTTTATTCTCTGCAGGATCCCAGGCAATCACTCCTTGAGTGCACAAAAAGGAGGAGTCTGATTAAATAGGTTCAATTATCATATTCAGTTTATTGTCTGTCCACAGTCATGGGATACTGAGTCTTCTTCTCAATGCAAGAACAATACTGAGGAACTGGGAAAGAACTTAGAAAAACTTAGTAACAAAAACCATCTTTTATGGGAAAGACTCAGCCAGCTCTGTTTTTCCCCACTTTCAAATGAATGACTAAAAAATCAGCAAGTATATGGTAACAAAGCTGATATGTTTCAAGTTCCACATGTGAGACAAAGATAAAACAAAACTTAAAGGCCGAGAGGCGAAGCAGGTCATTTTAGTTATTAATTACCTCAAATTATTTATTTAGCAGCTATATTAATTAATCACAAGACCTCATGAAAGATTGATTCTATTTCTTGAAATTGTGAAATCAATACTGGATGGTTTTGCTTAATATGTATCAACTAGTGGACATTTTTAGTGCACATCAATTCAGGGAGCCTGGGCATCAGTTATGCAGGAAGGCAGCTTAGCTGATAACAACAGCCCCTGCTGACCTTGACAG